TTCAGGGTGTATGCGGAGAATGTGTACGGCCGCTCCGATCCATCCACGGTCACAAGCATAGTGGAGACTCCTGCTCCTCTCACCAAGAAACCCAAGAAGAAGGAATACGAAGTGGATGAGACTGGCAAGAAGATCCGCGGTAGAAAGGAATCCGTTGACGACTATGATCAGTTCGTCTTCGACGTCTACTCTAAATACGTCCCACAACCTGTTGATATTAAGCATGACTCTGTCTACGAATACTACGATATCCTGGAAGAGATCGGCACAGGCGCCTTCGGTGTCGTCCATCGTTGCCGAGAACGTAAGACAGGCAATATCTTTGCTGCCAAGTTCATCCCTGTCGCGTCTGCAATAGGGAGAAGGAATTTCTTATCCGAAAGGGAATTGAACAATCATGAACCGACCTCCACCATCCTAAGCTCATCAACCTTCACGACGCCTTTGAAGACGATGACGAAATGGTTTTGATCTTCGAATTGTAAGTGCTTGAAGTTGTGATAGTTTACCTCGTCAATACAGTTGTATGATATGAAGAGTTCGTTTATATGCTTTGATTAGATCATTAATTTACAATAATTATAAATTAATGCACAGTTTCTGTAAAAGTTCACATGCTGACCCTCGATTTTTCCATAAACACTTTGATTTTCAAACTTCCTTCGCTCATATTAAAATACTTTCATAGCATGTTGTTGCTTGACTCTTTAGCTTGTCTGGAGGCGAACTCTTTGAACGAATCACAGCAGAGGGCTACGTTATGTCTGAGGCTGAGGTTATTAACTACATGCGCCAGATCTGCGAAGGTGTCAAGCATATGCACGAAAAGAACATCATCCACCTGGGTGAGTAGTCAGTGCCACGTCTAGTTCGCTGCTTCATCACTTCCCCATTGCCAAAATATAATGAAACCTTCAAATGATGATAAAAAATCACCTAATCTGACTTACTCTTTGCCCATTTTTTCAGGTCCCCTATATAATTTCTAGTTTCGTTTTCGTTGCAAGAATAAAGGAAAATTTCCTATCTCATTAAATCCAGCTTATGCACTAGGTAACAATTAAATGATAGTATAACGTCTATGGCTTTTGACGACTGAAAAAAAACAGGATATTAAATAGGTCGCCTCGGCCGTTCGTTTACCGAGTACGGTATATATGGCGTCATTGTGAAGCAAACAAAGGCCACTGAGCGTTTAGTCGCATATTGATACGTGAGGCCATATTGTCCTGGATTTGCTAACTGAAGAGCTCTTCAGGGAGACCAGTAGGTGCGTGTGGAGACTGTGAAGAGTAAGAGATCCTAGACGACAACCGATGTCATTCCCGAGTGTATTTGTGTATTTTGAAGTATTCTTGTTTGGCAAATGCATTGCCAACCCTCTCTCTCTCATATATATAATATATATATATATATATATATATATATATATATATATAAATATATATATATATATATATATATATATATATATATATATATATATATATACGTGTGTGTGTGTGTGCAATAAGATCAGAGTAAACAGGTGATATCACAATATACAGAACAACCACTGTGACAAAATAGCGAAATTAATTCCAAGCGTATTCGTGACTTCTCACATTATCAAGGAACTATAAAAATAAAAGGTTAACAGGAAGGCATATAAGGACGAGACTACACCTCGCTGCCACGCCAACAACAATATATGTATATATATATTTCTTCAATAGGTAGTAGGTTGGTAGACAGCAACCGCCCAGGGAGGTACTACCGTCCTGCCAAGTGAGTGTAAAACGAAAGCCTGTAATTGTTTTACATGATGGTAGGATTGCTGGTGTCCTTTTTTCTGTCTCATGAACATGCAAGATTTCAGGTACGTCTTGCTACTTCTACTTACACTTAGGTCACACTACACATACATGTACAAGCACATATATACACACCCCTCTGGGTTTTCTTATTTTCTTTCTAGTTCTTTTCTTGTTTATTTCCTCTTATCTCCATGGGGAAGTGGAACAGAATTCTTCCTCCGTAAGCCATGCGTGTTGTAAGAGGCGACTAAAATGCCGGGAGCAAGGGGCTAGTAACCTCTTCTCCTGTATATATTACTAAATGTAAAAGGAGAAACTTTTGTTTTTCCTTTTGGGCCACCCCACCTCAGTGGGATACGGCCGGTGTGTTGAAAGAAATATATTTCTTCCTGCCTTACCCCTTACTGTCACGAGATAATCTTTAATTATACTGACTGTCACTTTCCTTGGTTTATATAGTTGCACTGTGCTGTTGCCTCTATCATGAAATAAGTGTGCCGAATTTTGGCTTAAATAGCAACGCTCTTCTTGTTGAATAAGGCAAGCAAAAATTTGTGTATGCAATAATTTCACAAAAATCATTCTGAACCTAACGAAAAAATTATATTTCATTGTGTTTGTTTATTAAATTATTGTAAACTTATCTAAAATATATTTATTTGGATTAGGCTAAATTAAATTGCCCTTGTTAAGGTTAGATAAGT